TGTACATTTGCGACACCAGTCCTCGACCTCGTTTCGACGGTGGACCCAATAAAACCGTTCTCGGATCTTCAGTAGAGTTCGTTTAACTCGCAGATGGCCTCCGGAACAATCATTATGGTACAGCTGTAGAACATCCGGTACTTTAGCTTTAGGGGCAACCATTTGTAAGTGACAGCTGTCTCCCCGAACATTTTCCCATTTACGGCACAGAACTCCATCCTGAAGCAGCAAGCTGTCCCATTGGGCCCAATAGCTTTTAGTGGTCGAACTCGTCGCTGAGACGTCGCTCCACTTGGGCTTGGGAGCACTGGCCTTCATCCATTCCAGAATCGGCTTGATGTCCGGATCTTCCTGCTGTGCATGTTGTAAGCTGTCCTTCCACTCGTTGCTGAGGTGGTCTGTCCTGAGCATCCTCACGGATACCACTTCCTTACTCTTCTGCCTAGTACAATGTTTGCAATCTTCAGGACAAGGTCTTCGTGATAATGCATCTGCGTTGCCATGAGATTTCCCGCTGCGATGTTCGATCTCAAAGTCGTATTCTTGCAGTAGTTCAATCCACCTCGCAACTTGTCCTTCTGGATTTTTAAACTGCAATAGCCATTTTAGTGCATCATGGTCAGTTCTTAAGCGAAATTTTCGTCCCAGAAGATAGTTGCTAAAATGCTGCAACGACTTTACCACAGCTAACAATTCGCATCTTGTGACACAATAGTTCCTTTCCGGTTTCGACAACGACTTGCTGAAGTACGCTATCACGACCTCTTGGTCACCATTCCGTTGAGACAACACACCGCCAAGTCCTATATCACTTGCGTCTGTGTCGACTATAAATTCTTTGCTTGCATATACCCTGGTATCCCAAAATAGGTGTTTTGCACAGACGGTCCTTGAGCTCCTGGAATGCGATATTGCAACTTTCATTCAGAAGAGAGAAGAGAGAGAAGCAGAAATGTCGCTTCTCCTCGGTTAGCTTGTGCAGAGGTTTGGCTATATCTGCAAAGTTCTTCACAAATCGCCAGTAGTAGGAACACAAACCCAAAAATGCTCTAAGCTTGTCTTGTCTTTTGGAACCGGCCAATCCTTGACAGCGGCGATTTTCTCTGAATCCGTGCGGATACCTTCTTCCGATACTACATACCCCAAAAAGTTAACTCGATAGGAACATTTCTTCGGACTCAACTTGAGGTTGACACTCTGAATCTTCATGAGCACGCGTTCCAGGTTTTGAAGGTGTTCCTCAAACGTGCGGCCTGAGATTATGATGTCATCCAAGTAGACCAGACAGGCATCGCCAATTAGCCCTTTAAGTACAAGTTCCATCAGCCTTTCAAACGTTGCTGGAGCATTGCACAACCCAAACGGCATTACTTTAAATTGCCACAGACCCTTTCCCGTCGAGAACGCAGTTTTCTCCTTGTCCTTAGGGTCAATTTCAACTTGCCAGTAGCCACTTTTTAGATCCAGCGTGCTAAACCACTTTACTCCTGTAAGGATGTCCAGCGTGTCATCAATTCTTGGCAAGGGATAGCTGTCCTTCTTTGTAACGTCGTTCAGACGGCGGTAATCAACACAGAATCGCATGCTTCCATCCTTCTTGTTTACCAGCACCACGGGTTAACACCATGGACTAGATGAAGGTTCAATAACACCATCCTTCACCATTCCCTCAATCATGGTTTCCACTTCCTTTTCACGGGCTACCGGCAATCTTCTTGGTCGCTGACGGATAGGCAATTCTTCTCCTGTGTTTATTTTGTGTTGAACTAAGCCAGTCATTCCCATGTCAGCATCGTTTGATGAGAATACATCAGCGTACTTGAGTAACAACTTCTTCGCCTTGACCAATTCGTTCGGGGAGAGAACACTGCGACAGTCTTCCAGAAGTGTGATCACATTCGTTTCTGAATCCTTGCTGGGGGTCCCACTCGATATATATTGGCACCGGCGTAACCAATCCACTTTCTCACAAGTACCAACCAGTGTGCCTTTTTCTATAATCTGTTCCCGGTCACAAAGGTTCAGCACACGTACTCCTGAGATGTCAGTGGTCCTGATCAAGGTTCGAGCTACTTTCCATGGAAGGTCATTGTTTACCCTTTCCACAAGTACACAACGGTGACGTTGCCCAGCGTTTCGAGGAAGACTAACCGGAACAATCGTTTCCGATCTCGGCGGAAGAACAATCTTCTTAATGCTGTACACGTTCCCTGGTAACGCACCTTCCATAAAAAGTTCCTCCTGTCCATATTTCAAAACACCTGGCTTAACGTCGATCTCACAACAATTATTCCTCATAAAGTCTAGGCCTAAGATGCAGTCGTCCATTATATCAGCCACGATGACATTATGCAGATAGATCACGTTGCCTAGCTTCAGCTCCATCTCCTTCTCTCCACGGACGGGTATACGCTGACCGGTGGCTGTTACCAAATTAATGCGTTCTCGGTTGTATGCGGAGTCCCCAAGGAACTGACTTATTAGTTGGGAACTAACAACCGTACGAGAGGTTCCAGTGTCTATGGTCAGTTTACACGGCATTCCGTTGACCTCGCACTTGTTGATTAGACTGTTCCCATCGTGGGTTTGTGAGATCGAGATCCTTGGGGCTCTTTTAACATCAGCCAGCACCCGCCCCGCAGTTCTGGCTTTTACTCGTTTCCCTGCTGCTGCTGGGCGGTGCTGTTGGCCGCACTACCCTACTGAGATCATTCACCTTCCCTTTCTAGGGTTCGCTTAGGGCAACTGGATCGAAGGTGGCCCTTTTCCCCACAGCCATAGCACCCAGGGCTGTATCCTTTGTTGCAGTCGCGAACGGTAGCTGCTGCAACCTCCTTGATGCGATGGGAACGATGATCCTGCCACACGGCTTCCACCTCCAGTGCATGGGCCAAGGCGTCCTTAAGCGTCTCGTGGTGCCCGAGCCTCACAGCAGCTCTGACTTCCAGGTCACGGATGCCGTCGATGAATGTCTGCACCAGGTTCCCTTCAATGAGCGCAGGTACAGACCGGTATGCTTTTCGCACCAGCTTCTCCACCTCTAGAGCCCACTGCTGCAGGTTTTCGTTGATGCGCTGCACGAGATCTTTAAGCTGCGCACGAAAGACGTGTTCCAGGTGAGCGTCGCCATATCTCGCCTCCAATGCCTCAAGGAGTTGCTCATAAGTCACTTCCTCACCGAGAGCTTCCAGAACTGTTAAGGCCTGGTCGCGCAGGCCTAGTGTGAGAGCAGTCATGGCCTGACTTTTATTCCAGCCGTTCGCCTTCATAACAGCCTCGAACTGGATTTTGTAGGCTGACCAGGAAGAAGTCCCGTCGAACGGTGGCACTTTGAAGCCACGTAGTGAAGGTGTTGTAGCTACTGCGGGGGCTGCAATTCCATCTCCAAGTTTGAGTTCATCCAGCGTTTTCTTAACTTGGTTGATTTGGGTCTCAGCTTCCGACAGGCGATTATCATGTTGAGCAACCTTGTCCTTCACCTCCCTTATCTCTTTCTCGAAGGTAGCGTGAAGGTCCTTCATGAGGAGCATCTGCTCTTCCTTGTCGCGTTTGAGCTGCTCTTCTAAGCGGCGGGCCTGTTCCTCCTGTCGGCGGGTCTGTTCTTCCTGTCCGCCCCGCAGCTGCTCTTCCAATCGGCGTGCCTGTTCCGCCTGCTGGCAAGCCTGTTCCTCCCGTCGGCGAGCCTGTTCCTCCTGCTGCTCTTTCAGCCAACGGGCCTGTTCCTCCTGTCGGCGCGCCTGCTCCTGCAGCATCACCATCAGAGCACCTAAGTCAGGTGCTGCAGATGTAGGGGCTACTGACGGGCCTGCAGCCGCTGGCTGGCCCTCCGACGTCTGCGGCGTTGCACCACCAAATCTTCTTTGGTCCGTCTCCTGCTGGCGTTGACTTCGGGTACGGACACCCTCCGTTTCCTCCTTAGGTAAAATCGGCATGATTTTATCCCACTTCTGACACCAATTGTTACGAGCTTGAGGTTCGTGACAATAAAAATTGCCGATAGAATTACCTAAATAAACACTTTAATTCACTTTACATTAATAAAAGTTAAAAACACTAGTAATTAATCACACTGATTCACTTTATTCCGCTCTGAAGCTTCGCTTGTCTCGCCAACTTCAATACTTCCCCGATCGCATCTTGCAGCGCCTATAAATATAAATTAGCACCGAAATATCCAGAATATTCAAGTAAACACGCCCAAGGTACCGAGAGTTCGAGTTTCAACTTCAAGAAGTTTAGTTCTTCGGTTCGAGACTAGATGGCGCTAGTGCCGTCGACTTAGGCGCGTAACATTAGCAATAAAAAAGCCCTACCTAGTCTATCTACGTTATAGGCTGTTTTATCCTTTGAGCATATTTTATGCTCATAGGTTTTGTCTATTCTTGGAATTTACTGGTTTTTGGCGGGAACTTGGCCGTAGACGGATTATCGCTCCTGTTTTGTCGGTTGAATAATGGTTTGAAGTGGATTTTCATTTATAAAAGTAATGCGATTTTGTGAATTAAGTGTCCCACGTACATTGAGAAAACGAGACAAGCTTTGATGTCGATATAAACCTCAAGTTATTTTGATTGCTTGGGCGCCTTATGAACTTGAGTGGCTGTCGTCATCAACTGTCCCCTAGGTTAAGCTGTCGTCAAAATCTCCCAAGGGCTTCGCAAAGTGACTCATCAGCATATTGTGAAGAAAAAGAACATAAAATGAAGATTCCTAAAGAAAGGATAGGCTCAGAAGGTCTAGAAACCAGAGCCGTAAAGCCAGTTAATAAAGAAGAATCGGAATTTCCTATCTGTGCCAAATGTCCATAGAGATAATAATACTTCTGTCAGTGCAAATGTCACTTTCATGTGGTAATGTCAGTGTCAGTTTGTGTTAAATAGACATGTGTCAATGTCAATCATTCATTGAACACACGTTAAACATAACGATAACAATATAACCTATGATATTGTTTCATATTTTTAGGAATTTGGGATATTTACACATATTATTATATTAAAATGAAGAAAGCAAAAGGTACATCTCGTCCTAAATTTGTTAATTCTCGCAAAGCTTTTCGAAAGGAAAAGAGGCAACAAAAGAAGTTACATCGACGTGAATACTACGAAAAGAAGAAAAATAACCAGGATGGTCCAAAATTTGAACCTGGGAGATTTGTTAAACGTCCAGCAATAATGCCAAAAGTCGATCTAGAAACTAACGTAAGAACAAATTTATTTGTATGGTATCATTGTTTGGTATCAAATAATTTGTATACCAATTATTTTATTTGTAAATTAAGTTTTGTTTTTTTAATTATTGCATACTAATGTTTTTTTATAATTTAGATGAATATTTTAATACCAAATAATTTAAATTACGTTTTGTTTTTTTAATTATTGCATACCCGATATGGGTAAACCGTGTAACATTTAATTGCAATGTCACCTGCAAATTGTACATACACAGATTATTGGCAATAAAAATATTCTGATTCTGATTCTGAACAAAACTTTGTTTATTGAAATAATCAATATAATATGTATGTACAAATATTTATTTTGGTACGTGGTAGAGCCACGCCGCAGTTATATCATGGTTGTAGCATGAATGGATCGGCTCGACCGGGGAAAGATCACGCTCTCACAGAATACCATCGTAAAATAGCAGCTTAATAGTGCTGTGTTTTGTATGGTGAGTGTAGAGATCTGGAGACACTTTTTTACTGGAAACAAGCCATTCCAAATTAGTCCTTAGGGGTGACAACGTCTCTGCGTTTTGATTCCTAATCATAGATAAATGTAGATGTCCACTTATCATCAGGTGGATCGTGTACTTGTTTGTCATCCTTATTCTATATAAAAAAAAATTTAACACAAGGCATTTCGATTCTTTTAAGTTTTTTTTAAATAACATGTTCTGTTTTCGTTTTCTGTTTTTAAAGTTACTCATGCTAGGTTTTTTTAAGACACATTGTTTTTTAATTTCAGAAGAAAATGAAAAAGAATCTACCATTTTCACAAGATATTTTAAATAAAGAAAGGCAAAAAGATTTGAATGTAGCACAGAAACTTAAATCAGAAATGGATGAACAACGTAGAAAAATTTTATTACAAGCAAATGAAGAAGAAGACAAAATAATCAAAAAGCTAGAAAAACAACTTGGTTTGAACAAGTCTAAAAATAAAACTAATCATTTTTCTGAAGATGGATTAGATTGTATCCTTTTTATCAAGTATATATGTGAAAATATGTGGCAGTTTTTGTTTTTAAAATTTATTAGTGCTTTCTTGATTAGTAATAGAAAAATTAATATCTCAATCTTAAAGTTTTTTTTTAAAAGGAGAGGGTGACAAATGAACACACAGTCCACCTGATGGTAAGTGGTTGCTGTGGCCCATAGACATCTAAATCTAACCTCAATTACGACTCAAAATGTAGATGCATTGTCACCTGTGAGGACTAAGAGGGAATGCCTCGTTTCCAGTAAAAAGAGTCTCCAGTTCTCTACACTCACCATACAGAATACAGCAGCATTAAGCTACTATTTGACGCTGTTATTCTGTGAGAGTGTGGGCTATCCCCGGTTGAGCTGACCCATTCATGCTACAACTATACTACTAATATAACTTCAGCATGGCTCTACCACATATAAATATTGGAGTTAAATTATATTGCTTGAACTTTCCATGGTTGGGGGAAGGTGCGGATAGGATATTTATTATTATTTTTAGAAGTAGTTAAGTAGTAGCTTCTTCTTACATTTCAGTCATTATTCTTATAAACTCAATGAAATAATCTAAAATATTAATAAAACTAAAGAAGGTTCTCGAGTGGCAGCTTTGTACCATTAAGTCAAGTGTAGGATGCCCCGCCCCCACTAGATGGAGTGACAACCTAGTAAGATGCAGGTAGTCAGTGCATGCAGGTGGCTTAAGACTGTGCTTTGTGGCATTCCTTAGGGAGGCTTATGCTGAATGCATTGAACTTAGGAAGAGTTATAATGATGATGATGAAATAAAATCCTAGATGACATGTGCCAAGATGCAGTGTTTTCTAGAAAAATAACTCTGTTACATTGTTTTATAGAATATATTCTATAGTTGTGCAAGTAGTCTGCATGATTTTTCTTAGTTTCGCAAATTATGGCCCTCTCACACATTATATAATAATATATAAAATATCAATGTAATCCTTCACTGTGTACAGATCTTTTAGAAATATGTGATAGGACTACATCTGAGCAAATTGTGGCTGCGGAGAAACACTTGGCAGATGTTGAAGGTGATTCAGATTTTGATGAAGATTTAGCTGCAGTAACAGGCAAGGAATTGCAAGTTGATAAACAAAAACGGAATAAAGACAAAGAAGCAATAAAGACAAAAAAACAAAGTAAACATGAAAATTCAAATAAAATTATACAAGATTTTGAAACAGGTGAAACTGATGATGAAAACTTTGAATCTGATATTGACATGGAACTAGAAGATGCAAGTGGTGAATTAAATGAAGATTTTAGTGAAGAAGGTGATGATGATGATGACAATGAAGAAGAACAAATGGATGATCATGAGCCAATTGCAGATGATGTGGTAATGAAAGAGCAAGGCAAGGGTACGGATAATAAAAAAACCATAAAACAACCAAAATTGATAACAGAAAATGAGTTAAATAAAATTTTCAGCGAAGATGAAGTATCACATATATCCGATGATGAGGATTTAGATGAAATATCTGTTCCAGAAAACTGTGAAGATAAAAATGAAGATAACATCAAAAGCAAAGAGAAACCTGATGTTTGGGAAGACATCTATGGAAGAAAAAGAGATAAAGAGGGAAATATAATAAAAGTAGGTTGGTTTTTATGATATTTGGATTCTGATTTTTACCCTTGAGCGGCATTACTATTAGGAATTTACCTGACACCAGCTTAAAAATAATATATTTACTGATTCGTACATAAAAACTCATAAAATAAATGGGTTTTATACAACCCATTTATTTTATGTATATATATTCTTTTCAGTCAGTATTGTATTTTTTAAAAGATTTTTTTAATAATTTAAAATTTTATCAGATAATCTTATGTTTGGATCTGCTAATCCTACCCTTGAGTAATAACCGAAATTTTACTGTTTCAGGAAGAGAAAGGCATTTATATTCCTCCACATTTGAGAAATAAAGATTCAGCTTCAGATAAGGATCTAGCCCAACTTAAGAGGCAAATTAAAAGTAAGAGAAATTTGAATCATTTTAATTATTTTGAGTAATTACTAATACAATATATTAAAAAAGGCTACTTTCAATTTCCAAATAATATTGAAAGTTTGCAAATATCCAATATTACAAAAACATAAACATATATTGTTACACAACTAATCAACAAAAACAAATTAGAAATAGCTTGGCAGCAATCACCTCATTCCCAGTGGTTATTATCATCCATAAAACATACAAAAACCAGATGTTTTAATGTATTTTTGTACAAATATTGGCTCCATTATAAATTCTACTATTTATCAGCCCATAGTAGGGACATAAAAGAATCAGGGAAGAGATAGGCAACATCATCTGCCTGATAATAATCCAAAATAATAAGAAAAAATCTGTAGTTGTCTGCCAAGACTGGCAAATATCCACTTTATGCATTCTGTGAGGGAGGGCTTGTCTTGCAGTGGACTTTTGGTCAAGTGGTCGTAAGCGTAGAGGCTGATTCAAATCCTGGATTAGGCCAAAATCAGTGGAATTTTTCTCTCAAGAAATACTCAGTAGCAGCCTGGAGTCCAGAAGTTGGCGGTGCTTCACCCACTTGTTTCAGAAAGCACGTAAAGCCTTTGGCACTGCGCCTGACCTCTCCGGTCGAGTCGGATTACTGTCCCATCAAAGAAATGAGAGTGAGGGAATAGAGAGTGCACTTGTGGTTGCGAACACACTCGTGCGTTATAATCATGTCATGTGCAAATGGCTAATTTTCATTGAGACCTAATGTCGTGACCGTAAGACTATATATATATATAGTTCGCCTCGTTACGGACGCAAGTCACGTGTCATTTAAAAATCATAAATAGTGTACCTATCATCATTATCATTCAGCCATATTATTACATGAGTAAATAATATACACAAACCGTATATATTTTTATAGTAGATGGGCAAATGAGCATGCGGCTCTCCTGGTGTTAAGTGACTACCACCGCCCATGATCAACCGCAACACCAGAAGAATTGAAGGTGCGTTGCCGGCCCTTTAGAAAGAAGTAAGCTCTTTTCTTGAAGGTCCCCAGGTCGTATCGGTCCGGAAAAATCGCCGGTGGTAAACTATTCCACAGAGATTGTACGCGGAAGAAAATTCCTTGTGAAAAGTACAATGGTGGACCGCCAAGCATCCAGATGGTGTGGATGGTATCGGGACGTTTGCCGCGTAGTGCGTTCACGAAATTTGGCGGCTGGGATTAATCCAAACAATTCAAGAAAATGCAAAGAAAAAATGTAAAAAGAATGACGGCTTTAAGACATACGAGCGAAGCGGACATTTTTAGATATAAACAAAGCGGACATTCAATACTGCATTACAATGACAAGAAAATGTACAAAATGCGACAAGATTATTTTTAATAGACAGTTTTTGAAATGTTCTCACTGTAAAAAATTGAATCATCTCACTTGCACGAATATCTCAGAGAAATTGTTTTATTTAATGAAACAGAAGGAAAGTCATAACTGGAACTGTGAAAATTGCAAAAATAAATGTCGAATTGAAATACAGGCAAGTAATACATCGACACCACAAGTCTTTGCTACACGACGGAGTAAAAATAATGTAAACATTACAAATGCAAACTCTTTTGCATCTCTCTACTCTGAGGTTTCGGAGGATGATGATTTCTCTGTTTCCGAAACACCGAATTTAAACAGAAGCTGTCCCGAAGAAGGTCTTGTTATGAACGAGGTTTTGGATGACCTCAAAATAAAAATAGCTAACTTAGAAAATAAGCTCCAAATAGCCGAAACAGAAATAGAAAATTTATTGTTGGAAAATAGCTCTCTAAGAAGACAAATTTTAAACTATGAAAAAAAAAGGACGAAACAACTGACACAAATATTTCGAACAACGCCGGTAAGAAGTGCTAGTTTAAGAGGACGCAAGAGCTTAAATAAAAATATTAAAATTTGATTTCACATGCTTAGACCAAACAAAAGATGAATTTGTTACTCAACCACATAATGAATCAGATGAAAATAAATCATCCAGCCCAAAAAAGACACCGGAGATTGTAAGAAATATGGATAATACTACTGAATTGCCTGCACAGGAAAGAGAAGACTCCACTGACAATACTATAACAAATGAGACGAAAAAAAAGGTATTAATATTAAGTGATCAAAACGGTAAAGGTTTTCGCAGTTTACTCCAAAATATAATTGATAAAGAATTCCAAGTGACATCTATAGTAAAACCAAATGCTTTTCTATCACAAATTTTAACATATTGTAAAACTAATGATTTCTTAAATTTACGCGAACACTACACATTGAATAAAACTATTATTTACGGATTTTTTCGCGTTTAATTACTTTAATTTATTTTTATTATTATCCCGACGTTTCGGGTGCTTTACAGCGCCCATGGTCACGGGGGGGGGACTGAGATGTTTGACGTCCCAATGTCATAGTTAGTCCGGCTACCTTCAGTTTTTTAATATTAATTTTTGGTCCGATTTACGCAAAACGAGCTTATAGTATCATGAAGTCTTGCAGTGGTATGCTTGGGTTTGGGTTTAATTTTGTTAATTATAGGATCCCAAGCAGATGGTAGCACCCAACCATCTTCTCTATTGAAATTTGGATGTTTTTTAATTTCAATAGCCTCACGTATCATCCTTGGTAGGAATCGGTGTTCTTTTGCGAGAATTTGTGGTTTATCAAATCTAATGTAATGGTGGGGACGATCTTGAACATGTTCGCAGACTGCAGACTTCCCGGAGCGTCGGTGCTTCACATCAGCTATATGTTCCTTCACGCGGGTTTTTATAGATTAGGGATGTTACGGATATGATATTTCGGATATGGATACGGATACGGATATGGGAATAATATTATATCGGTTTCGGTTTCGGTTACGGATATAAAATTATTTCGGATTATCCGTTAGTTTCGGATCGGATAAGATTTTTGAGGTATTTAAGTAAAATACAAATAAGTAGGTAATCATTTGGCTTTATATCTTGGTTATCATTTGGTATTACAATCAGTCATTTATTCAAGTAATTAACAATTTTATAAGAATAGTATACTAATTAATGTAGCTACCTACATATTTTTAAGTTATCTACTTAAAAATGCTATTACAAAATTATTATAATCAAAAACAATGCTATTAGTTTTTTTTTCTATTATATTCTTCAATATATTTCTAGGAACTATTACAACGCATAAATCAGTCTTCTTAAGTCTTTGCATATTGAAGAATAAAAACTAAAATCTGAACATAACATAACAAAATATTTACTTGTCTTTCACTTAATGATTTCTTTTAATAGTCGAAACTAAGCAAAGGTAAATTATACTTAACAAAAAGCAATTTCGCAGCCTTATCACCAGAAAGTCGATTTCTTAAGGGGTCATAAATTAACCCAGCTGCACTGAAAAGCTGCTCACTTGGTACACTTCCAGGAGGTGGAGAAAGGTACTGTCTTACTAAATCACTTAAGCAATGGTACTTGGTATGCATTTTCCACCATAAAAGTGGATCTTCATTGAGTGTCAATCGTTTCTCCCTGTTGTATTCATTTAGTAATGTCTTTTTAACAATAAATTGATTGTGCACATCATCACCACAATCTATGTTTTGCTCTTCCTCGTCACTTAAGCTTAATATTTCAGCTAGACAAGATTGAATGTGTGAATAGTTGCTTGAGCTTGTTGTCGGAATCTCATTCCGTGATCTCTTAGGTGAAGAAGGACCTTCATCACGAGAAGCTTTTGAACACCCAAGAATCCCCAGAATCTCAGACTGTACCTGTTCCTTCGTAATTTCAGTAAAAAACTTGAGTTTAAACCGTGGATCTAGATAAGTAGCTATTGTATATATTTTATTATTTTCAATATCCTGAAATCTGACATTGATGTCTTGGATCATTTTCGTAATCATTAATTTGAAGTTCTCAGAAGTCTCTTCTTTACTCTTCTCTGTTTCTAGTGTGTTTTTAAGAGTATATATTAATGGAATCACTGATGCTATTGTTGCAGTAGCACTACTTAACTCCTTTGTAATTTCTTCGAACGGCTTTAGTATTGCAACACACTTTTTTCAAGTCGAGCCATTCATCAGCATTAAGAATTGGTATATCATGCGCGCCCGAATACAGTACTAAGGAGTCTTTTAATGTCAATATTCTTTTCATCATATAATACGTCGCGTTCCATCTGTGAAAAAAGAAAAAACAATGTCAAATCAAATAAAAAAAAATTACATAATAGATAGGTGTATAAAATAGAATAAAAAAATCTCACCGTGTGGAACATTCCTGAATTATACTTAGTCCTGATTGGTTCAGTCTTTCTGTTTGAATTTGTTTCAATTCATTTTGCGCGATTAGGGAGTGATTGAAGTGAGTTGCAATTTTCTTGCACTTCGTAATTACTGACGAGAGAAATTCTTCGATTTCCATCGTTGATCGCACACATAATTGTAGTTGATGAATAGTACAGTTTGCATCAGTGAAATTGGCCATATTCATAGCTTTTATCATATTAGATCCTCTGTCGCGTAAAATACAATGAACTGATTCCGTGCTTAAGCCCCAATCTTTCAAAATATTGTTTAAATTATTTGCTATAATTTCACCTGTGTGCCGACCCTCTAATTGTTCACACTTGAGTATTATAGAAACTCTTTCATATTTATTGGTGATGCCATGAGCAGTAAGACTAAGTAACGATACATTTGAGCTGGGCTCTGACCACACATCTGTAGTAAATGACAACTTTTCAAATTGCTTAAGTAATCCCAGCACCTTTAATTTAATTTTATTGTATATATCAGTACACAGCAAATTAGTAAAATACTGCCGACCTCTTAGATGATAGCGTGGTAATGCTGCCTGCATTAATCTTTGGAAGCCGACACCTTCCACAAAGTTAAATGACAAGTTTTGTAATGCAATCATTTCAGCTACTAATTTATCAATTTCTTTTTGCTTGACATTACTTTCATCCCAGGCGCCTTTATTT